TTGTCAGCATTCCACGCAGGAACTGCGTCAACATTTCTCTTCCACAGACATCGAACAAGAAAAACTCCTGTTATTTGTAATGTTCTGGTACTCCATATAATCCCTGAGTAAAGGAAGGAAGTGCTCAATAGAGATCCACAAAACATGCTGCGTCTATGGTGGATTGGATCCTCCCACATAGATTTTACTGTTGTAAATAAACAAAGCACAGGAAATTCTTTGCTTTCAAGCTGTTGCCAAGATAACTGCACGGGTGGCTTATGTTGAAGGAGATTTTACTTTGCCTCTATTGATCATACAGAAGAGATTTATACAAACTAGCTACAGAAACATATGGAATGTAGAAGTGAGATATGTAATCTGTTGCAGTATTCCTGTTAAAGATTCTAGCTGCTCAGGAAAAATTCTTTTTTCTAAGACATGTAATTCCAATGTACTCCCTGGCTATTTTGTGTGGATTTTAATTTTTACTGAGTTAGGCTTCTGTACTTTCTGGTGATATCCAGTCTTTGATGATTTGTTTTAAGGTTCCCCACTCAAGTTAAGGGTGCTATAGTTAAAAATAATTTTTTTCTAAAGAATCTTTTCTTGAGTTGTTGCTTTATTTATTTATTTATTTACTTATATCCTGCTTTTATTATTTTTATGAATAACTCAAGGTGAATATACCTAACATTCCTTCCTTTTCCTATTTTCTCCACAATGATCCTGTGAAGTGGGTTGGGCTGAGACAGAGCGAGTGGCTTAAAGTCACCCAACCAGCTTTTTTATTTCCTTTTTGAAAACAGGTGGTACTGATCTATATCCAAATGATCAGCACTTACAGAATTAAGTAATTAAGTACCAGATTTCAAGATAGGATAAGTAGAATAAACTAAACAAGAAAAGGCAAAAAGAAGAAAGTGCTTTTCAGCAATAGTAAACTGGTATTTCTGTCACAATCTAATAAATAGAATTGGCTTCCATTCCAGCATGATAATTAAAGAGTTTCCAGGGAAAATGGTGATGAGCATCAGGCATTTTTGCTAATTATAAAACATGTCCTTAGAGAGTTGCAACAAATGTTAGCCTCTCTTCCAAAGCCTCTCATTGGATTGGGCATGGGGGAGGCTGTGTGTGAATTTTTCCCTGGAGTGTTTGTGATAAAAGCTCTTCTCCCCATGTTAACTATTTCACAACAGACCTAACTTATCAAAATAATTACATACTTACTTCTCACTGGCAATTGCCTATTTTTATTTTCCATGGAAGACTGAAAACATATTAGCAGTTCCAATGCTGCTGTAAATGTTTTCTACATTCTCCTCTGTGAAAGTATTACAGAACAAAGCCTCCTTTAAATAAACATTATTTTGCTTGATGCACAGGAAAACCACTAAAAACATCTTTTATCACAACAATTATAATGAAATAAAGTTTTTAATGTTTAAAGGCCTGGATTAGGGGGAGCTTTAATGGGGAAATGCATAACTCTTGATCCACAGCCTTGCTGCCTCCTATTATTATCTCTCCTCTTTCTCTAGACTTCACTAGCAGTGTTGACCTAAATGAAATAGATCAAAAGCAGTGCAAAAATCTTTTGCCCCACATAAAACACATCCCATCTAAAAACATTGTGATTCATATTATCCTCCACAAGGCAGAACATTATCTATTGATAAGAGGAGTGAACTGAAGAGTAAATTGGTTGGGACATGAATGGAAAAATGTTTTCAACTCGAAGCTGCTAATTCACTCCTTAGCTGCTGTTTCTCAGCAATTTTTTGAGTTAGTTGATAATCAAGTGGCCAATTATCAGTAGACAGGTGAAATAAACTGAAAGAGTCTTATGGCATAAACTGTCTCCCATCACAGCTTATGCTATAATATTATATACACTATATTATACAGTATCTTCAAAAAAAGAGGAAAAAAACAGACCCAGGAAACTACAGACCAATCAACCTAACATCAATACCTGGGAAGATACTGGAAAAAATAATTCAAAAACCAGATCTGTGAACATCTAGAAACAAATAAAATTATAACTAGGAGCCAGCATGGGTTTTTTAAAAACAGATCATGCCAAGTCAATCTGATTTCATTCATTGACAAAGTGACTAAATTAGTAGACCAGTAAAATGCTGTAGACATAGTATATATAGACTTCAACAAGGCATTTGACAAAGTAAACCACAATCTATTTCTTGGTAGGCTAGAAAAATGTGGGATAGACAGCATTCACCATCAGATGGATTTGTAGCTGGCTGACAAACCGTACTCAATGAATAACCCTTAATGGTACTATATCTACATGGAGGGAAGTAAGCAGTGGGTTACCACAAGGTTCTGTCTTAGGCCTTCAATATCTTCATAAATGACTTAGATGAGGGGATAGAGGGGGAACTCATCAAATTTACAGATGACAGGGATAGCCAACACCCCAGAAGACAAGTTCAGGATCAAAAAAGATCTTGACAGTCTTAAACAACAAAATAGAGCACCCCAACAAAATGAAATTTAATGTGGAAAAAAGCAAGGCTTTACATCTGGCCAGGAAAAACCAAAGGTACAAGTACAGATTAGGCGAAACCTGGCATAAAAACAGTAACTGTGAGAGGGACCTTGGAGTCTTAGCGGGTGATCACTTAAACAAGAATCAGCAGTTTGCGGCAGCAGCCAAAAAAGCTAATACAATCCTCGGTTGTATGAGCAGAGGCATAGAATCAAAATCACCTGAAGTGTTAGTACCACTTTATAAAGCCTTAGTAAGATCACACCTGGAATCCTGCATCCAGTTTTGGTCACATTACAAAAAAGATGTTGAGACTTTGGAAAAAGTCAAAGAAGAGCAACTAATATGATTAATGGCCTGGAGACTAAAATATATGAAGAAGGGTTGCAGGATTTGGGTTTGGCTAGTCTAGAGAAAAGAAGGACTGGGGGGAATTCCAGTATTCCAGTATTTGAGAGGTTGCCACAAAGGAGAGGGGGTCAGTTTATTTTCCAAAGCACCAGAGGACAAGAAACAATGGATGGAAAATAATCAAGGAGAGAAGCAACCTGGAACTATCGAGAAACTTACTAACAGTGAGGATAATTAACCAGTGGAACAGCTTGCCTTCAGAAGTTGTGAGTGCTTCATCACTGAAGGTTTTTAAGAAGAGACTGGACAGTCACTTGTCTGAAATGATAGGGTCTCCTGCTTGAGAAGCGGGGTGGACTAGAAGACCTCCATGGTCCCTTCCAGCTCTATTCTGATTGAACATTTGTTATTTAAGGTGCTATAAATGGAATATTGTACATACTATGGGGCAAAATGTCCTTCCTTCTGAAAAGAATTAAAAAGAGTTCTGTGGATCATGTGCAGAATGCTTTTCCTTTATCATAAATTGTATCAATATCCAAGTCACAAATCTACCTTGGCAATGCCTTCATGAAGCCAACTGGATTTTCACAATAGATCAATAGATTTTTACAACCTGGGGTCCCTGCACCCCCAGAGAGTACAAGATGGTATTTCAGGGGGTGCAACAAAGAGTGGCTTATGTCCCTTAATGATGAGTGGCAATTACTTTTGTAGGGGGTGCAAATATTAAGCATTTTCTAGGAGTGCAGAGCATAGAAAACGTTGAGAACCATTGCAATAGATGTAAGTTTTCAGTTTTAGCAAAACTCTTCATCAGACAAGTGACTTTTAAAACAAGGAAAACAAATGGAATGGAGGGGGGCACAGTGATTGGTGCTTAAGTCTGGGTCTTGTATGATTTAGATTAACTAGAAATTGCCCACAGCTCTGCAAATTAAACTCTAAAACTCACATGCTGATTTTCCATAAACCATTATTTTTTTAATTTGACCTATTCTGTGATTTGTGTATTTTTTTTTTTGCAAAGTTGTCAGTCTAGGAGCGAACAATTATACTCCAAAGCTATGCACAATTCATAACATCAAAGTTCTCCCTTCATTCAATAGGATGACAATCTCGCATTCCATTAAGCCATTCTTTGCTCGGCTGTGTTTTTAAATAAACAATAACTGGATTCACATTATGCTGAGGCTAAACAAGCCACAGTTTGGTTTAGCCCACACAAATGTGTCTACATTCACATAAATGCATTAAAGGTTTCCTTTGAAAAATTATATGATGAACACCTGTTAGTGTCTAACCTGCAGTTAAAATGTTCCCACTGACTAGAATACACCTTCAATTTAAACACATCCTCTTTCTAGCTAAGGTTAACAATACTCAGGTATGCACAGACAGGAGGCATCATCACCGAAACCCCAACCCCAACCCCATCCAGCACCCTAAAAGTAGGCAGTAGGAAGACTGTAGCAGAGATACAAGTAGTCCTTGACTTACAACCACAATTGAGCCCAACATTTCTGTTGTTAAGCGAAACGCTTAGGCGACTTTTGCCCCATTTTACTTACTTTTTTTGCCACTGTTGTTAAGTGAAACATTGCAGTTGATAAGTGAATCTGGCTTCCCCATTTACTTTGCTTGTCAGAAAGTTGCAAAAGGTGATCCCATGACCTTGGGACACTGGCAATTACACGATGATGGGGATGCTTGCAAAGCGTGTAACTTTGAAAAAGCATCGTAAGCCGCATTTTTCGGGGCCCTTTGAGAGGTCAGTAAACGAACTGTTGTTAAGTCGAGGACAACCTGTGTTCTGCTCCTTCAGGAATAAAGGCAAAGTCGACTCTTTCCAACAATTCCCAACTTGTTCTTCCCCCTCCCGAGTCAGAAACGACGACTACTATTAATGGGTCGGCATAATAAAAGTCAAAGTCCTCAGCTAACGAGAAGCGGGTGAAGGGAAGGTAAACACTTCGAAAGCGCTGACGTGTGGCGCGATTCTTAATCTAAGCAGAAAGAAATACTGGAGGGAGAAGCGTAAGCAGATCTCCATGGTGCCCTGGCTTAGGAGCTTCGACGCCAACCCCCCTCCCTCACCGCAAAACTTTGGCGTTTGCCCCAGCCTTAAGAGGGCAAGCTCTTGTCCGGGACTTACCGCTTTGTGGTTTCAAGCGAAAAAGAAGTGGGGGGGAAACTGAGGGAGCAGCTGCCAACTACCCCTAGACGGAATCCCGCCACAGCACTCCCCGGCCCGCCTTCGTTTTGCGCGCACGATCTCCAGCGCCAACAATTCGCCGCCTGGCTAGGCAGCCTCCCAACTAACAACCAGGAAGGAGGCGGTCAAACGTTACCAGCGGCTGGCGATAGGAATGAATGAGGAAGGCAAGGAGGCGGGCGCTCGATCTGGGTGGTTTCTGAGTGGATTCTGAGTAAATGAAAACCTCTCTCTCACACACACACACTTTCTCTCTCCACCATCATCTTATCCCAGGAGGAAGGGATTTCCGTATGGTGCAGATACTGGATATGGGGAAATAGCAGGACGGAGGGGAGGAAATTCAGACCCGCTCCCCCCCGTCGTCGTCCCCTCTTTTTTTTTTTTGTATAATGGAGTTTTAAAAATCTAAATTGGCTGTTTTCTGGTATTGGGTGATCTGGTTGAGTTTCGGGTAAGGACAGTAACGAGCATTCCGGAGATTATTCAAAAATAGATGTTAGGGCCAATTGAGTGAGGATCAACCCCGGTCTTTTATTCTCTGAAACGTTGACAAATCTCAACGAATTTCTTTGCAATCTTACGCAGGGCCAAACCCCACTGAAATCAGCGGGATCACTTTAATCGTGCTGAAGGTATACCACAGTGACAATTCTACCGCTCTGCACCTGTATTGCGGCAGAAAAGCTGTTCGAAACGCAGCCATATAATGTTGATGCCTGTTGGGATGGTTACCGGGCATGACATAGTAAACTACGTTCTACAGTTGTGCTTTGGGACCAATTCCCAAAATTCGTGAAGTTGAGCTAAAGAGTTTGGAGACTGACCTAAAATGAAAATAAGTGGAGCCCCTGACTCGATTTCTCTTCCCACTGAGCTTCACTTCCCAGAGAGAAAACCAACCGCCTCTTCTCTTCTTCGTTGTACATTGAGTCAAGGCTTGCTGAATGTAGGCAGGTGAATTGAATTGGAGAGGTTACCCAACCCACTTGCACAAGTGTGAAGAAAGAATTGCAAGGAAAATTGGGCACTGTCTCCTACTTCAGCCCACCTACCTTCCTTCCACCTGCCTCCTGCCATGACCTATCAGGCTAACCAGTGCAATGGAGGGAGAAACATGGGAAGAACCAATGGATAATGAGTGTGCTTCAGTTTCCATTGATGGTGTGGAGAAAGGACAGGGCTAGTAATAGGCAGCTGGGGTTGGCACTACTGAGAAGCCACCAGTGGCACGGAATTGGCAAAAATGGCATCAGCCCTGCTCCAAGGAACAAAAACAGTGAAAAGTAGGGCCATGCAAAAGAGTAAGAGAGAATTTTGCTGAATGCTCCCTTAGCTTGTGATTGGTTTGAAAGTGTATATTTTTTCACAGGATAATTTCAAAAGAAATAGAAAAAGTGAAAGTATAACCCCACCACATAGATTTCCCTATGACAGAAAAAGTGGAAGTTGAAGCTGATATGAAACACTTCCTTTCCTTGCTGTTCATACTGAAGTCACTTCTGTGTCTTCATAAATGGCTCTTTATATTGCTGCTCCTGCCTGCAAGTTTTTCTTTTAATCTTTTGTGACTACTCTGAAATAAAACTGCACATCAGGCACAATGATTGTTTTGAAAACATTGCATTTTGGCTCCATGTGTGATAATCTCTTCCTCTAATAAATTTCCTCTTCAGCAAACTTGCTATATTTGTTCCATTAATTTGTGGTGGAAAGTGGCAGTCACAAAATAACGTTTTTTCCGGAGTACAAAAAATAATTTATGTACATTTGGTATGTGTGTGTCTCTGTTTGTGTGCATTTATGTGTTTAGGAGGGAGGTGGGGAAGAGAGAGAGAAAGAGAAAGATTTCTAGGTAGAGAACCTTGTTTTAAACACCTTGGAAACATCCAGTGATGATTTCAAAATGTAATATTAATTTATCCATTGCCATTTATTTTCTAAAATATTTTAGATCTCAATTCAGCTTCAGTTAGTCATGAATTACAACTGCAATCTCCCTTACCTGAAAATTAAGTCCCTCTGAAAATATATAGCATTATACTGCATTCCCTATCAATACAATATTTTAATAGGACTGCTGATACAAAATGAGAACCAGTTTGATGTAGTCATGGTTAAGGCATCAGATGAGAAACCAGAAGATTGTGAGTTCTAGCCCTGCCTTAAGCACAAACCCAGCAGGGTGACCTTGGGCCAGTCATTTTCTTAGTCCTAGGAAACAGGCAATGGGAAACCACTTCTGAAAAACCTTGCCAACAAAACTGAAGGGGCTTGTCCAGGCAGCCACCACAGGCAACCCTGACTCAAAACACACCCCAAAACACAAACTGAGCACGGAAGTATGGGACATCCACAGATGGCAACAAAAAGGTACCAAAAACTCATTTTGCTTCTGTCCAGTATCTTGATTTTTGAAGTCCTAATTTGCTAGCCCTATAATTTAGTAGCTTCTAATGGAAATTTACGATAACTGGGATAGAGCCTGAAGCATAATGATTATTTACTGCATGAATTTATTCCTAAACTGGATGAAGGCATGTGTTAGCAGTTGCCATTTCATCACCTTGTCTTATCTATACATAAACATGCTTCCAACAGTGAGCAGGCAATTATAGTGTCATTTGGAACTACAATTATAGATCAAGATGTGCATTATAAGTGACTACCATGATGAAAAACCAAGCAGATCCTTTGATAATTAATATAATCATCATCTCAAATCAATCGTACTGACAGGGTGAGGATATCATAAGAAGGGGAAGGCTCCCCCCTTTTTACTTCTATCCTATTCAATTCTGATGAATATAAAACCAACTGGGATTAATTAGTTGCAAGTGGAACTCTAGCTGAGTACATTATTAAAAATGGCTGTATTTGGCTCATTCTTCTTGCTAATAAGGAATGTGTCAAATAGTTTGAAAAAAAAATGCATTTAAAGATATTCATGAACCTCTTATCAAATCAGCAGGGGAAAATTATGAAATGTCAATTTAATAAATGTGTGTGATTGCTAGATGTGTATCTCCCTGATTATTTTGTAACATACATAAAAGATAAGAAAATATAGAGGCTTAATTGTTATCATTGCTTAAATATCTATTCCATGGCTAAAGAGCCATAAACTTGAATGCTGTTAAGTATTAATACATGGAAAAGCAAAACAAAATCTTATTCTTTCCATCATATCAAAGTGAGATGGTACAAAATAGAGAGCTATCTCAGATGTTAAAATAGGCTTAGAGAAAACAAATTGGAAACTTCAAATATGTTACAATTCCACATTTCACAGACATAGAACAGGATAATAATTATTGGGTTCACACATTGCATTAAGCCATAATGTATAAACCCAACCAGTTTGTAAGATGAATCTTCCATTAATTATGTATTGGGTGCAGTATTTTATAGTTTAGCAAGATATGCAAATTGTGCTTTCTTCTGTGAATCAGGGTTAATCAAATCATAGCTTGGTGCAATTTGCAAACCAAATTCAACAGAAAGATATTTGAATTTAATGATGAAATTATCACAATATCTTCCATTTTGTACAAAATCTGACAAAGGGGTGATTTTTTTTAAAAAAAAATCAGATTGTTGTAATGAACAGCCAATGAACAAAATGCAGAAGAAATATAAATTTCCAATCTAAAAATAGAACCAAAAAATGTCAGTTTTAAATTATGAAATTTCTAAAATAAGAATACAATAAAATGCATGCTTTATTCATTTAGAATGTGCTTCCTAAGAAACAAGTGTATAAATATAATTGGATTTTTTTTTTAAAAAAAGATCTGGGTTTAGATCAGGAAGAGAAACCTAAGACATTGTTCTTGATTTCTTTTATTACCTTTCTCATGTGAGATTTGGTCCTTTCACAAACAGGTATAGGAAGGACTTTCTTGCAGCATGGAAAAAAATAATCACAATTTCTATGTTAGGGCATTTATGGTTTAGCATCTTTGTATTGATTTAACAGGCTCCTCAGTAATGCTGACACATTCCCCTAAGATATGAAATGCACCATTCCACTATGTGCCTGCAGGTAGAAATATATTGACCCAAGATTAATGATCTAATCGGAACAATTACAGCTGGAATACAGAGTATCTCACTAACTGTGAGTAGTAGCTTGATCATAAATGTTGTGGTTTCAACATTCAAGAATTGTCAAATGTATTTATATGTTAAAAATCCTAGTGAGAGTTAATCTAACCAAAGCCAATCAAAATTACTTCTGAATGTTCAGGCACTGAATTATAATTAAAATTCCTTTCTTTTAAAGTATGCTAGTTCATCCTGCAATTTCCTTGATTATGAATGTTCCCCTTTTCTAAGTGTCTCTTTCCTAATTTTCCATTTGATATTGTGAACTTCAACTAAATATCCTTTTGTCATCCCTGAATCAAGCATGATTCTTCTTTCCAACAAATTGGGCAAAATTCAAGGAGAGAGAGATCTGGAACCAGACAAAATGCAAGTAAGCACAAGTCCAAGGAGGGTCTGAATCAGAGGTGGTATTCAGCAGGTTCTGACCAGTTCTGAAAAACGGGTCGCGGAAATTTTGAGTAGTTCGAAGAATTGGCAAATACCATCTCTGACTGGTCCTGTCCCCATCTATTCTCTGCCTCCCAAGAGAGTCCCAGCTGATCGGCTGGGTCTTCTTTGGTTGCCCTGCACAGGAGAATGGAGCTGGAAGTAAGTTAGTGGCGTGGGGAGGGAATGGAGATTTTACAGTATCCTTCCCCTGCCACGCCCAACAAGGCACGCCAACCAAGGCACACCACGCCCACCAAGCCATGCCCACCAAACTGGTAGTAACAAATTTTGAATCCCACCACTGGTCTGAATATGGTTCAAACACTACAGAGAAGCTCAGACCGGCTCCCAGATTCCATGAAAACATTGCTAGCCAGAGTCCAAACAGGAATCTTTTTAAATCAGCTTTCAAAGACAAATATCACAGGATTTTGTGGATCGTGGGATCCATCACTTAGGATTCAAAATATCTCTTATGAGTTTTTCAGATTTTATTACATAACAAAGTACGGTAGACAATAAAAGTTTCTTCTCTTCCTTGGTCTGCAGAAATATCAGGCTCTTTGTGACACATCATGCTTCTT